AAGCATTTGATAAAGTCCCTCATGATAGGCTGGTACAGAAGATTAAATCACAAGGGATCCATGTGAGTTGGTTTGTGGGATACAAAATTTGCTTGGTCATAGAATAAACTGGGTAGTTGTGGAGGGGCGTTTTTCTGACCGAGGGTCTGTGACCAGTGGTATTTTGCAAGGATCGGTTTGGCACCTCCATGTTTGGAGGTGATTTGGATAAATTGTAGGTGGTCTGATTAGTCAGTTTGCAGATGTAATGAAAAATGGTGGATATGTGGATTGTGAGGAAGGCTGTCAAATATAGATCAGTTGGAAAATTTGACTGAGAAATGGCAAATGGAGTTTAATCCAGACAAGTGTGGTGATGCATTTTGCGAGATCAATTGCACGAGGAGTATTGGGTGTACAGGGATCTTGGGGTGCAAGCCCAAAGCTCCCTGAAAGTGACAAAGCAAGTGGATAAGGTGGTAAAGGAGGCATGTGATATACTTGCTTCATCCGTTGGAGCATTGAATATAAAAGCTGACAAGTGAGGCTGTATAAGACTTCATGGTAGGCCATATTTGGAGAATTGTGTGCATTTCTGGTTCCAACACTAAAGGAAGGGTGTGGAGCCCCTGGAGAGGGTGCAAAAGAGGTTTACCAGGATGTTGCCCTGAGTGGAGTCTATTAGCTATAAGGAGAGGTTGGACAATCATGTATTGTTTTTGCTAGAGTTTTGGAAGCTAGGGATGACCTGATAGAAGCATATAAAAATATGAGAGACATGGATAGGATGGATAGTTGAAGTCTTTTTCCAGGGTAAAAATGTCAAATACTAGGGGGCACAGGTTTAAGACGTGAGGGGAAAGTTTAAGTGAGATGTGTAAGGCAAGTTTTTTAAACATAGGGTGATAGGTGCCTGGAATCTGCCTCCAGGGGAGATGGTAGAAGCACACATGATAGCAACGTACAAGAAGCATTTAGACCGACCCATGAAAAGGCAGGGAATGGAGGGATAAGAACCATGTGCAAGCAGATGGGACCAGTTTATAATGGCATCATGATCAGCAAAGACCTGTTCTAGTGCTGTACTGTTTAATGTTTCATGTTTCTCCCATTTAGCTTTTTGTCAATCTTTATTTCGTCTCACAAGGCAGCGTCAGGAAATAGGGTTTGAACTAACAGAGGCCATTAAAGACAACAGTTTACTTGAAGTTTGGGCTAAAATGCACCTCTTCAACCCTGGGGAGCCCAAACAGCAAGAGAAACAAAATTAAGGGAGGGGTAAACATCGAATAGCAGCAGACAGCCACAGCTGGCCAGGAGGAGGTGACTGCCCAGAGCCATTTGGTTAGCAGAATCAGCACTATCTGCGGAGAGAGAAGCTCAGTATACATTACCAGGCAAGGACTTGAACGGAAGTTCTTGACCTGAAATGATCACTGTTTTTCACTTCACATACTGCCAAATCTGGTGAATATTTCCAGCTTCAGCTTCTTCAGGCTTCATTTCAGATTTCCGGTGTCCATAGTATTTTAACCTTTGTCCTGTAGGCCAAAGGGAGATGAGGCCTCCTGGTATTATCACTAGGCTATTAATCCGGAGACCCAGGTAATGTTGTGGGGACCCAGATTCAAATCCTTCTGTGGCAGATTGTGGAATTTGAATTCAATAAATGTCTAGAATTTAAAGTCTAATAATTACGAAGAAACCATTGTCGATTGTCAGGAAAAACCCATCTGGTTCGCTAAAGTCCTTTAGGGAAGGAAAATGCCATAGTTACCTGATCTGACCTACATGTGACTCCAGACTCACAGCAATGTTGTTGACTTTCAACTGCCCTCTGGGCAATGAATGCTGGTCTAGCCAGTAATGCCCATATCCTGTGATTGAATAAAAATTAGAATCTCCTGGCTGTACTTTTCATCACTCACTCCATCAATTCAGTTGTGTTGCTTCACATTAGCTCACCTTTTGCCTCATCCTCTACTTCCCTAGGCCTTCCTCTTTCTCTTAGCGTTTCACCTTGTTCCACTTTCTCAGCACTCATTCCAAATATTTGTTCCTTACTGACAGGAATATCATAAAAAAATTCTCACAAGTTCTGTTTTCTTCCCTCAGCCTCTGTCATTGCATAACTTTGGATCTTTCAGTACATGATGAGCAAACATTAAACACTGGGATGACAGAAAGTCACTTTATAGACCACTGTCTGTGCCCTAGCTACCAAAACTGTCTCTCTTCCTGTCACCTATTTGAAAATGAAACAGACTGTTGACAACAATGGCCTCATGTATAATTCTGGGACAAGTTCACAACCATATGCTCATTCAACCACTTGCTTAGCATATTCCCATCTCCATCATATTGCTCAACTTGGCACCTGTCTCACCTCACTGGCTGCCATTTATGCCTTCATTATCTCTAACATTGACCGCTACAACTCACTCGAAGGTGACCTTTCATATTTTACCCATGATAAACTCAGTTATCCTAAACTCTGCTGCCTGTGTCCTGACTCGACCATATCCCATTTTCCCATCACCTCTGTGCTTGCTGATCTACATTGGCTCCCATTCAAACAGCATCACGATTTGAAAATTTTCATCCTTTTTTCTTTTTAACATCATCAACGCCTCAACCTTCCCTTTGGGTTCCATGCCCACAACCCTTCATGATATCTGCAATACCTATTTCTGGCCTCTTGAGCAACTTTGATTTTAATTGTTCTACTATGGCCTTCCTTCACTTGCCTAAATCTCAAGCAGAAACAAATTGCTGGGAAAAGCTCAGCAGGTCTGGCAGCATCTGGGGAGAGAAATCTGAGTCAATGTTTCAGGTCCGGTGACCATTCTTCAGAATTACACCTAGATCTCAAACTTTGGAACTCACTTCCTAATCCTTTCCACTTCACTTCCTCCTCTAAGGCTCTCCTTAAAATCCATGTCTTTGACCACGATCTTAGTCACCTGACCTAACATCTCCTCACAGGGCTTAGTGAGATATTTTTGAGATGTGTTTGACACTGTTCCTGGAGACCATCTGACTTATGGTGCTTAATAAATATACGATTTTATTGACGTTGAACTCCCGCACCTTGCCAGGATGTTGAGTCTATAATGGGTTCAACAATGATAATCTCAAAACATGAGGTACTTAATTTTTTTTTCTATCTGGACACAACGACAACCACTTCAACGTCATTTTTGGCACAGATGTTAATGACACAAAAACCTTTAGCAGAAGCTAAAGCTCAGTTACAGCCAACAACCCTCACCCCACTGCGTGATATTTATACAATAATGTTTGAATATGTGGAGACTCCTGTTGCCAAATTAAGGCTACGTTGAATAATTAAAATCACAGACAGAAATTGATGATTGTTTGTGTCCTTAATCCAGGCTCTCACCAATGCAAAACTGCACACAACACTATTAATGTTATTTAAAATGATTGCACCAATGCCACAGACATCTGTTCTTCAGTAAATGATGTTTTGACATCAATACCTCAGTACAACATTGAAATCACAATGCCCTATTTGTTAATGCTTGATGTTGAGACACCCTAGAGGATGAGGTCGGGGTATTTTACTAGATTCTTAGATTAACACAGATAGAACCTGGATCTTTCTTAGATTTGATGACCCAGTAATGTGCTGTTCAGCATTTTAAAACAGACCATGAACACTGACATTCCAAAAATTGACTCATCCTATCTCAATACCTGTCTTCAGTACCCATGAAAAGCTGCTTTGGTTTCCTAAGTAATGCTCAAACATAACTCATTCCATGAAGGAAAAATCATTTCCATGAAGGAAAGAAAAGGTCTCACTAACATCTTAACACATTATAACCATGAACCTTGAAAAGGTTTATAAATGTCATCCCCATCTCGAGACTAAAATCTGCCTTTTTACTTGCTACCATCTGTCGCTTATAGTTCCAGTAATTAATTTTAACAATGGTTGTTAATTCAATTTATTTCAATTCTGGGCTTGTATTTCAGTCTTCAGGCAGGAGAATGTACCTTTACTCTGCTGCTACTATGTGTTATAATAGCAAGAAGGTGAAAATAATGCCAATGGCAGTCAGAAGTGGAAATGAAACTATGGACTGGATTTTATGAGAGTCACAATCCTGGCCCCCCGCTAGCTTAAAGTTCAGGGACAATCTATGTATTTTCCCGATAGCTTCCCTGCAGCAATTTAACACGGGGAGCATCATCAACTGCTTTAAAGCAAGACCTCAGGCTCTGCAGGACACCCATTTTAGAAAGCTACCCACTAATCGACAGCTCTGTAGACCCACCAACACCAGCAGTAGCATTGGCAACTGTAGGGATCCTCACCGTGCTGGGGATTTCAAAGAAATCTGGTCTTGGGTGTCTCATAAGAAAATGATAGGGGTCAAGAGTAGGCTATTCAAGCCTTCAAATCTGCTCCTCTATTGAGTTCAACATCCTAATCCTGCCATCCCCTAATATTCCATTTCCCATTTAGGCATAGAGCAATACCCATCTCTTTCTTGAAAACACAAAACGTTTTGACCTCAACCACTTTCTGTGGTAATGAATTCTACAGGCTCACCAGTCGCTGGGTTTCTCCTCAACTCAGTCCTATAAGGTTCAAGAGGCTGGGATGGGAACTGATGATACTTCCTTAGGGCATAGTTCCCTGTAAAAGAGGCTCTTCACAGCAATTAGGCAGACCAGCCGGGGAGTTAAAGGCTTCTTGTGGGATGTGCTCCCCCCTACCCACCCTAGTCATGGGTGAAATATCAGTGGTGGCAGATAGAGCCCATAAGTGGCCATGAAATGATGATTTCATGTTCTCAATAGCTCCAAGGAAAGTGTAAAATCTAGTCCTATACTTCTTGGTTGCAAACTCTCTACAAAATGATTCTGCTAGGTGAATTGGACAAATGCAGGAAAAGAAACATTTTTACCATGCTAAATTAAGACAGCAGGGGAATAAGATGCAATCTGTAATATAAATGTATCACATTAATGACATTTCAGATGAATACCTGTCACAAGGAAACTACACGTGCCAGCGCCAGCTTCATTGATTATGCTGCAGTTGTAAACTCCATAGCTGTCTTTGGAAAGATTGTCCACTCTGATCTGCGTATAATCCTGTGACTCAAATCGCCCCGTTAATAAGATCTTATTGCCCAGCTTCCATTCGAAGGTCAAAACGCGGGTTGGGTAAGCTTTCAGCACTCTGCAAGTCATGGTAATGCTCCTGCCTTGACCCTGTCGAATCTCCAGAAATGTAGGCTCCACACTTGGTGGGTCTGCAAAAGGGAAAGACAGGTTTGAATCAATGTGTTAATTTTGTGATAAGGTTTCTTAATGGTAAACAGAAAACGTAGATAAAGTACCAATTAAAAAAAATTCAAGGAAGTATCCAGTGAAGTAATCTATGGAGATGATTACGAACAATTAGCAATATATCCAATTAAGACATATAAAGGTAATGATATCCTTTCGATAACAAAACTGATTGAAAAGGAAGAAAAAGTTGCATTTTTCTAGCACCTTATCAAACTTATCAGAAATATTTAGAAGTATTTTAGAAATATTGGCCAGAATTTGCTGAAAAAATGCATTTGATCAACACACACCATTATAAATCTGTATGTTGACCAGTACATGGTGTTGAGGAAGAGATACCATATAAAGTTTTAGCAAATTAAGCTGGAGAAATAGAGGGAGTGGAAATGGGAGAACAGTTTTGTAATAATCATAATTCGGTCAGTTTTAAGAAATTTATGGAACAGAACAAAATAGAACAGGAGTCAAAATTCTACATTTGGGGCAAGGCCAATTTTCTAAGCATGTAGATTTAGCAAAAGTGTTCTGCAAACAGTTACTTGTAGGTGAATCAGCAGCAGAGGAGTGGGAGGCATTCAAAGGGGAGATTCAAAGAATTCAGAACAAATATGCTGTCACAATAAAAAAGCATGAAACACACAAATTTAGGGCCACCCAGGGTGTTAAGCAGTTTACAGGGTACGGTAAGTCAGAAAAGAAAAGCTTATGTGTGACACCAGAACTGAATACTATAGAAAGCTGGGAGAAGCATAGACAATATAGGGCTTAAACTGGTATGAAAATTAGGAAAGCAAAGGGGGAGCAAGAGAGAATAATGACAAGCAAAATCAACATGAATTCAAAGATGTTTTATGAATTGAGGAAAGACTAAGGCCGATAAAAGACCAAAAATTAATCTGTGTAGAGGCAGAAGACATGGGAATAAAAACAAAGACCGTGCTTTCTGTGTTTTTGTGTTTTTGTTGTCATTGATGTGGGTTTAATATTTAAGGATATTTTGCGCCTGTCTTCACAAATAAGGCGGATGATGCAGATGATGTGTTTAAGGAGGAAGAGAGAGAATGAGTGGATGTGATAAATATTGGGAGAGCGCACATTTTAATAGGATTAGAGTAAATCACCAATGCTGGATTAAATGTACACCATCACTTAAAAGAAGTGAGGGAAGAACTCAAAGAAAATCCGATGATAATTTTCTTTTTTTCTGTTTTTTTTTAAATTACCTGTGGTTAATTCCATATTTTTTTTAGTGAGACAGAAAATGAAGACATCTTTTTGAATAGATTTTATTATTATTTTAATTTCCACCACCAGGAAAACTGTTGTGTGGCCAATTGAATTTTTGCAAGCAAAGCCTGTAAGGTCACAGACTCAGAGTCATACAGCAAGGAAACAGGCCCTTTGGTCCAACCAGTCCACATTGATCATGTTCCCAAAACCAAACCATCCCACTTGCCTGTGTTTGGCCTATATCCCTCTAAACCTTTCCCAGTCATACATTTATCTAAATGTCTTTTAAACGTTGTAACTGTAGCCGCATCCATCACTTCCTCTGGCAATTCATTCCACATATTAATCCATTTTTGTGTAAAAAAAGTTGCCCCTCATGACCTTTTTAAATTTTTGTCCGCTCACCTTCAAACATGCCCCTTAGTTTTGAACTCCCCCATCCTGGGGAAAAGACACTTGCTATTCACTTTATCTGTGCTTCCCATGATTTTATAAACCTCTTTAAGGCCACCCCTCAACCTCCTACGCTCCAGTGAAAAATGTCCCAGCCTACACAGCTTATCTTTATAACTCCAGTAACATCCTGGGAAATCTTTTCTGAACCCTCTCCAATTTATAATATCCTTCCTATAGCAGGGTGACCAGAACTGTACACAGTACACCAGGAGAGGCTTGACCAACATCCTGTACAATTTCAATGTATAATCTATAATTAAAGGTCTGAGCAATGAAGGCAAGCGTGTGAGATGCCTTCTTAACCACCCTGTCTACCTGCGACACAAATTTCAAGGAATTATGTACCTGAACCCCTAGGTCTTTCTGCTCTACAACTCAACCGAAGGCCCCATTAATTGTATAAGTACTGCCCTAGTATGTTTTAGCAAAATGCAATACCTAATATTTATCCAAATTAAACACCATCTGCCACTCCTGAGCCCATTGATCCAACTGATCAAGATCTCCTTGTAATATTAGATAACCTCTACCCTGCCCATTTTTAGGCTGATGCAAACACAATGCTCCAGTGGGCTTTTTTTTTTGTTCCGTTAACTTTCTATGATTCCATGAATTGCAAATTATCATAAGCCACTAGATATAGAAACATAAAAGACTTTTATCCCCTATCAATCCCTACAGTGTGGAAACAGATCCTTCAGACCGACAACTCTCCAAAGAGCATCCCAGCCAGACTCACCTGCCCTACCCTTTGCCTATTCCCAAAACACTGCATTTTCCATGGCAAATCCACCTAACCTACATATCCCTGGACAATACGGGCTAATCCGCACATCTTCAGACTGTGGGAAGAAACTGGAGCATGCAGAGAAAACCCACACAGACATGGGGAGAATGTGCAAACTCCACACAGACTGTTGTTTGAGGCTGGAATTGAACCTGGGTCCCTGGTGTTATGAGGCAGCAGTGCTAACCATTGAGCCACTGTGTCACCCTCAGCATAACCAAAAGTAGGCCATTTGTCTTTTGAGACTGCTTTGCTATTTAATAAGATCATGGTTAATCACCCAATTCAGTAACCTGTTTCCACTTTCATCTCATACATTTTGATTCCTTTAGTTCTCAGAACAATATCTTGAAAGTATAGATATTTTGGTCTCAATCATTTTCTGTGGCACAGAATTCCACATACTCACCATGCCCTTGGTCATCATCTCAATCCTAAATGGCTTATCTCCTATCCTCAGAATTTAAATCCTGGTTCTGGACTTCTCAGTCATCAGCAACATCCTTCTTGATTGATTAATTGATTTATTATCATGTGTACCAAAGTACAATGAAAAGCCTCATTTACAAGCAGTACAGGCAGATCATAGTAAGCAGGATATACCGACCAGAGGTTGCAAAAAGACTTAGATAGAGGTATACAGGTCACATTGCACAGGGCATGCACTAGGCAATATCAACATTTGCAAGATTAACATTATTTGAGGCTAGAGAGTCCATTCATCAGTCTAATTATGGCCGGGAAGAAGCTGTTCCTGAACCTACTGGTGTGTGTCTTCAGGCTTCTGTATCTTCTGCCTGACGGAAGAGGTTGTAGGAGATCATTACCAGGGTGCAATGGGTCTTTGATGATGTTGGCAGCCTTTCCACAGCAGTGAGCAGTGTAAATGGAGTCCATGGGTGGAAGAGATAGGGAAGAGATAGGCACCCTGGTACTGATCTCCTACAACCTCTTCTGTCAGGCAGAAGATACAGAAGCCTGAAGACACGCAACAGTAGGTTCAGGAACAGCTTCTTCCCGACCATTATTAGAGTGATGAATGGACACTCTAGCTTCAAATAATGTTAATCCACTTCATCCACTTCAGCAACACCTTCCACCCCAACCTTAAGTTCACCTGGACCATCTCTAATACCTCTCTCTCCTTCCTGGACCTCTCTGTCTCCATCTCTGGCAACCACCTAGAAACCGATATCCATTTCAAGACCACCGACTCCCACAGCTACCTAGAATACACCTCCTCCCACCCACCCTCCTGCAAAAATGCCATCCCCTATTCTCAATTCCTTCGCCTCCACCGCATCTGCTCCCAGGATGAAGCATTCTACTCCCGTACATCTCAGATGTCCTCGTTTTTCAAGGACCGCAACTTCCCCCCCTCAGTGGTCGAGAACACCCTCGACCGTGTCTCCCGCATTTCCCGCAACTCATCCCTCACACCCACTCCCCGCAATAACAACCAAAACAGAATCCCCCTCATCCTCATGTACCACCCCACCAACCTCCGGATCCAACGCATCATCCTCCGACACTTCTGCCATCTGCAATCCGACCACCAAAGACATTTTTCCCTCCCCACCCTTAACTGCTTTCCGGAGGGACCTCTCTCTCCGTGACTCCCTTGTCCACTCAACACTCCCCTCCAGCCCCACCACACCTAGAACTTTTCCCTGCAACCGCAGGAAGTGCTACACCTGCCCCCATACCTACCCCCTCACCCCCATCCCAGGCCCCAAGAAGACTTTCCACATCAAGCAGATGCTCACCTGCACATCTGCTAATGTGGTATACTGCATCCACTGTTCCCGTTGTGGCCTCCTCTACATTGGGGAAACCAAGCGGAGGCTTGGGGACCGCTTTACAGAACACCTACGCTCGGTTTGCACTAAACAACTGCACCTCCCAGTCGCGAACCATTTCAACTCCCCCTCCCATCCCTCAGACGACATGTCCATCCTGGGCCTCCTGCAGTGCCACGACAATGCTACCCGAAGGTTGCAGGAACAGCAACTCATATTCCGCTTGGGAACCCTGCAGCCCAATGGTATCAATGTGGACTTCACAAGCTTCAAAATCTCCCCTCCCCCTACTGCATCCCAAAACCAGCCCACCTCGTCCCTGCCTCCCTAACCTGTCCTTCCTCCCACCTATCCCCTCCTCCCACCTCAAGCCCCACCCCCATCTCCTACCAACTAACCTCATCCCGCCCCCTTGACCTGTCCGTCCTCCCTGGACTGACCTATCTCCTCCCTACCTCCCCACCTACACTCACCTTTACTGGCTCCATCCCCGCCGCTTTGACCTGTCTGTCTCCTCTCCACCTATCTTCTCCTCTATCCATCTTCTATCCGCCTCCCCCTCTCTTCCTATTTATTTCAGAAACCCCTTCCCCTCCCCCATTTCTGAAGAAGGGTCTAGGCCCGAAACATCAGCCTTCCTGCTCCTCTGATGCTGCTTGGCCTGCTGTGTTCATCCAGCTCTACACCT